TCTGACATTATGAGATATGTCCTGCAGCAGGAGAAAGAAAATGAACAGAAATAATTATAAACTGCTACAGAATGATTAAAAGGTAAGTACAAAATGATTAAAAGGCAGCAGAAATACAGGTAGTCTTCGACTTATGACCACAATTGAGCCCAACATTTCTGTTGCTAAGTGAGGCATTTGTTAAGGGAGTTTTGCTCCACGTTGCAACCTTTCTTGCCACAGTGGTTAAGTGAATCACTGCAGTTGTTAAGTTAGCGATGCAGTTGTTAAGTGAATCTGGCTTCCCCATTGACTTTGCATGTCAGAAGGTCGCACAAGGTGATCACATGATCCCAGGATACTGCAACCGTCATAAATATGAGTCATATGCCAAATGTCTGAATTTTGATCACATCATCTTGAGGATGCTGCAACGGTTATGAAAAAAATGGTCATAAGTCACTTTTTTCAGCCCCATAATAACTTTGAATGGACAGTAAACAAACTGTTATATGTCGAGGATACCAAAGGGAATGTTGATGAACAGGCTGATCTCTTTAATTTCCCACACCCTGTTGTGGAATTTATGCCTCTTCTTGCAGAACTGTGCTCTGGAGACTTCCTGTAGGTGGCATGATAATGGTCCATAATAGATAGCCTTTAGTGTCAAACCGTAAGCTATCCTTCCTAACATAGGAATAAATGTCAACATTGCAACTTGTGTGAGTAAATCCTAAGACCAGGAAATGAACCAACAAACAGACAGCTAAGGATCTGCTTTGCTAGCATGGCCTAGCATTTTCTCTTGGAAAATGAGGATTAGTAAATTGTCACTCTTTTTCTCTGTGAAAATTGGATAGTTTGATATTCCACAGCAATGTTTTAGCCTCATTAAAGCAGAGATGGGGAACTGGATTCCTTAAAAATTTGACTGCATTTTCTTTTCCATGATCTCTTTACAATAGTTACAACCATAAACTGGATTTGATAGACATATTCTGCCACCTTCACCCCTTCTCTTTCTCTCTTTCTTTCTCTTACACACACATACACACATAAATATATATGTACTAATTGTGCATATTTGGTATACTCTCCTGGTTAAATTCATCAACCGTATCATTTTTCATTAATTCACAATTTTTGTACATGTAGCAGAACAAAAATATTAGGTAATATTCATGTGATGCAGAACAGCTGCAGTTCATCTGCTACCTTGGCAGAGCTATTATGAATGCAGCTTTTAAGCATAATTAATAACAGCACACACTCCCAACTCATTAAAGCAAAATTTGTATCTATGCCCTCGTTCAAAATCATGTATTTTCTTCAGGTGCCTATGTCTGTGAGCTTTTTTAAAAAAAGCTTTTATCTTTTAAGATAAAAGACTAATACAAATTAAGAGACATATAAAAAGGAAAGGAAAGGAGAAGTGCATAGGGAAAAGAAAAAATAAGGAAAAGGGTATATAAAAAGTGACTCCCTTTTAAAAAGTATATACAATTTTGTTAGCACCTTCGGTAACATTTCAATAAAACAAAGATCACTTCTTTCCATACTCAGCCCTTATAATAATAATAATGATAAAGTTGGAAGGGACCTCGGAGGTCATCTAGTCCAACCTCCTGCTCAGGCAGGAAACCCTATACCATTTCGGACAAATGGCTGTCCAGTCTCTTCTTAAAAACTTCCAGTGTTGGAGCATTCACCGCTTCTGGAGGCAGGTTGTTCCACTGGTTAATTGTTCTAACTGTCAGGAAGTTTCTC